GAAAGGATGAAAAGAAGAAAGTAAGGAAGAAAGAATGAAAGGAAAGAAGAAATGGAGAAGTGAGTATCTCCCGAGCATTGCATGCATGTTAGCTTTCAGTTCGTTTGAAGAGGCGAGTGGAAACGATGGGATTGGAGAGAGACGGGGGAGGAACGAAAAGTAGAGCCGAACCAGAGGAGGAGGCTTAACTGAGGTGGAATGTGGTGTTTCCTCTGAAATCACACTCGTCTCTTGACAGCAATGCATTCACACGACGCAATCACATGCAGAAAGTTGGCGGGATCAACGGAAAAAGTGTTTAAGGCGAGGATGCAGCCGGTCGGTCACAATCACACCCGTTCCACGCTTCGTCTGCGGCCAGTTCGCATGTCATTTGCAGCAACTTCTCTTTTCAACAGCATGTGGCCAAAGCGTACAATGTACAACCAAAACATGAGACCGGATTGGACCAAAAGAAGTTGCTCGTTTTGACGCCGGCCACATTTCTACTTTTCTACAACCACAGCTCCAAGTCTACCCCCTACAGCTGCCAGTGAGTCCGACTTTGCAACCCCTTCCACTCGCCTCTGCCAACGAAATGAAAGCTACTCCAACTTAAAAATGAAAGTCAGCTAATCAAAATCAGAAGACATTAGCCTATTAATAGAACTCACTTTCTTTTGCAGTACTCTTCTCCAGCGCCATCCGGTCAATCTGAAATGCTGATTGCTTACTCACACAATTCGATTGAGACGTAGTGAGGGATTCGAAGAAAAAAAGAAGAAATTCCTGATCGGGAGCCCGGAAAACGTAGACCTTGACAACTGCAGACACACACAGGCCAGTGGGGCCAAGGGCATCTCGTCCACACAGTCGACAGTTGGAGCATACATTTGGGGTTTCCTTTCGAAGACCTGTTCTATTATGTCTTGTAAAATGCAAAATAGACTGACTTGAGTGCTTGAAAGATCGGAGAAAGGAAAGGCTTGACAACTCAATCCATTCGCCCCTCTTCTTTTTGGGTGCATTTACTGCGATTATTTGCTGAGTGTGTGTGCATCCCATTCTGAAAGCGATGCCTTGTTGACAACGATCCCTTCAAGAGACAGCTGAAGATGCACAGCCTATGTTCTTTCATGCTCTTTCCAAATCAACTTGGGGGTATAGTTTACATTTTCTCCTTGGTACAGTAGAATACCTGCTCACCTTTTTTCCATTCACTTTGTTTTGCGCAAAGCAAAAATGAGTTTTGCTGCATTTTGCGCACATTTTATATCCAGGCCCTTCAGAATAGCAAGTTGTGTTTGCATATCAGCCGACAAACAATTGAGACTAGCAGAGCCAACAAATTATTGTGGTTTTTGCAAAAACTTTCTAACGCATAGACACTTTTTTGTTTACTTTTTTCCAATTCGTTTAGCCTACAACTAGCAACACTACTTTCCTTACTTTACTAACTTTTAGAAATGGTTCGATTTTCGGGTCTCCTGGTTACCCGAAAACCATGGCGACATCAGACAAGTATTTCTTCCCTCCAACAATCTCTGGTTGCCCGACATCGGCGTTTTGAACGGAAGAAAAAGCTCACACTTCGACTTTAGTAGTGAGCACCACTCTCGTCTGAGCGTGAATTGGCAAGGAGAGATCACTTGGATGTACGGAGTCATTCTGGACGTGACATGTCCACTCAACGTCTCTTTCTTTCCCTTCGACACACAGACGTGCCACTTAATTCTTGCGCCCTGGCAGAGTGACAATCGGCACATCATCATGAGAACCGTGCAGCACGGTTCTATTGTTGACAACAGGTAGCTCCCAAGACCTGTTTAGCCA